GATATGTACTGTACGGAGTCTGATACTGTATATTCTGTCTGTATATACAGGATGTCCTAAAAATGTCTCGCAATCCGAAAGTGGCGGGTTCCTCAGGCCATTTGAGGCAACTTCTTCCTTTACAAAAATTTTCTCCGAGGTACCGTTAACGAGTTATTAACGAAAAACAGTGACCAATGAGAGGCGAGCTCGGCTGGCGCGAGGCGATCGAGCCAATGAGCGGAATTAGGCTTCGCGCGCTGGTTGGCTGGGCCGCCTCGCGTCAGCCGTACTCGATTCTTATTGGTCACTGTTTTTCGTTAATAACTCGTTAACGGTGCCTCGGAGAACATTTTTGTAAAGGAAAAAGTTGCTTCGAATGATCCGAGGAACCCGCCGTTTCCGGATTGCGAGACATTTTTGGGACACCCTGAAGACTGTTGTAAATCGATGCGAAGACAAAAGAAGCGTGAAACAATACATATGAAGACGATTATTTGGTTCAAACGATGACCGAGTGAGCTACCAGAGTAAGCCACTATAGTGGCGCGTCGTCCAGAGAGATGACATCCGCGGAAGCCACTATAGTGGCGCGTCGTGCCTAAAAGGTTAAATTAATGGCACCGAAACTAGTGAGTTAAATTGATCACAAAGAAGTATCAGTTTGACTGTTCTGCATTTCTGAAAAATTCCGTCAAGTTTTGTTCGATACAGTACAACAGAAATGAATCTCAAAACCGAGTTAAAAATTAGCGTTGTTCCGACGCGACACTCAACGCGTTAATAAACTGGAAATAAAGCAGCAATATTTGAAACGTTCCCAGCTAGATCCATTTTATTCGTCCACAAAGATCACCAACTTATGGTTTCCTAAAAAGATCGCACCGTACGAACATGTTGCCCATAATCTGTATGACTGAAACGAATTTCATCGCTTCGAACGTTTAATAAAGCAAATAACCATCATTCTATTCTTCGTACGGTGCACGAAACGACCAGGCATTACCATATTTCTAAATGGCTTCGTTCCGTATGTGATTGTTGTCACTTCTGTTGGCCAGGTTTACGACCGTCAGAGCGCGGCAGAAGTTTATGCGTTGTTTAAAAGAATAATAGTAAAACCATGCCCAGAGAACACGTAGGATGCAGCGACATCAAATATGTCCGACCTTAAAGCGCGTTTCGTAGCGCGGCAGAAGTGCATCATTTTTTCGAGCGGGTACACTCCTTTCCGCATGGAAGTTACGTCGTTCAGCTCGAGTGCATGTTAGATATCTGTCAAAGGGGTGGTGAAATGTTTCTTTAGCTCGGGGGAAAAAACTTGTCTCTTTTAGGATGCTGGCTTGGAACGATGATACGATCACGTTGGTCCGAGGTTGAAGATCAATGTTGCAACGTGCGGTCCACGGCCAAGTTACGACGGATCGAGGATCTCGTCCGGAGACATTCGTGCCATACGAACTCGATATATTGCCCGAGGACGTCCGTTATTGGACGTTATTGGACATCCACTAACGAGCGCGGCGGATAGAAAGTTTATTGGAAGGTGGCTTCCGTCGTCGCGTGGTGGGCCGCCGTGAATGCTTGCAAAGTTGAAGAAGGATGTCGCGAGTCGCGAAGTACCGCGTTATTAGCAAAGTCTTATAATCGTGACGGGCGCTATTCGATTTCTCAGATACATAACTACGTGGAATCGTAGTAGATGTTTCAGTATTTTGATGAAAATCCGAGCCAGAAGCGTAATAACGTGTAAGCTTGTCGAATTACATTTTTATTTCGGAACCGAACGAATGTATTTGTAACTTTAGCTTCTGCAAATTGCACTAACAAGGGAACGTTTCCAAGCATAACGCGCCGATTTTAATGAGATTTCAGTACAATATAGTTTGTTGAAAATTATTTCATACGTATTTTTTAATATCTGTAATGATCCATAGCTAGACGGGAAAAAAATGATTTATGCCTTGAAAATTCAGCGTGAAAACCATATTTTGTAGATATCTCGAGAACTAGAGGACGTAGAACGATGAACATTTTTTTTAATCGTGTGTTTTTGATCAATAAATTTAATAGCTTGAAAAAATTCCGAGAAAAATATTTATTTAAACAATATTTGAAAATATTTTATATTTTATGTAAACTCGCATGTGAAATCTACATACTAACATCTCGCCGATTAACGATATATTCACGTAGTCATTCAACGCAATCTAAAGGGACACGTAGCCTTCAAAATTATGTTTGTTAATAAATAAAATGAAAAATGTATGCAGCTAAATCAATGAAGCAGTTGAGATATTTTATAAATATGGACAGCGGAACCATTCGCTTTTTATCAAAATGATATTTCACTTTTAAAATATTGCGTCACAGTAAAAATTCAATATCGCTACCATATGAATAATGTTCAAATATTTGAATGAGATTTATACACAGTTTTCACGAATACGAAGCGTGCCGCGTGGTTCTCTGAAGTATCGAATCAACGAAAACGTTGTTTGAAGTAGATGATTCGAAGGCCTTATTGTGCTTGCAGTTGGGCGTTCGTCTATAAACAGTCTCTAAATATTGTTTAACAGGCGATTGCATCGATCGATGTGTCGGTTTCGTGCGGACAGTCGGTAAACATTGTTTCATTGGAATCTAAGCATGTCACTAAAATCGGTAAACCACGATGTTTGCGCACGGTAGACACGAAATCGACGTGAAAACGTAGGCCTACCTTGAAAGCTAATATTATTAACAGCAATATTCACTACAGTCGCGAAAGCTGCAGCTACTTTATATCTTACTTCAATTATACTGAAATGTTATCATTCGCTTCCTTATACCGATAAGAAGTACACCAGAGAAGTGATTCGTGAGGGTACAAATATTTTCTAAAATATCAAATCGAACTATTTTCAAAAATATCAGATCAATATCATTCAAAATATCATTCAAAAATATCAGCTACTTGATATCTTACTTCAATTACACTGAAATGTTATCATTCGCTTTCTTATACCGATAAGAAGTATACCAGAGAAGTGGTTCATAAGGGTACAAATATTTTCTAAAATATCAAATCGAACTATTTTCAAAAATATCAGATCAATATCATTCAAAATATCATTCAAAAATATCAGCTACTTGATATCTTACTTCAATTACACTGAAATGTTATCATTCGCTTTCTTATACCGATAAGAAGTATACCAGAGAAGTGGTTCATAAGGGTACAAATATTTTCTAAAATATCAAATCGAACTATTTTCAAAAATATCATATCGAACTATTTTCATAAATGTCAACTCAAACTACAATAAATTCTCCCCGATTTTCCTTCAGTTTGTAAACATTTTTATAGTTGCCGATCGTCAACGATTATATAAACGAGGCGAAAGACCCGAACAATCGTATCTCCTCTTTCCGAATTCTCCATTTTGGTTTACAAACTGAAGGAAAATTAGGGAGAATTTACTGTAAAATTTCCTTATTTCGCAATGAATTTATTATGGAATTAAACGTTTTCTAGTCGCGTTTACTTTATCGCCAGCATCAAAATTGAAATTGGCTACAGCTGATGCTGAAGCGTGGAACGAAAGCATCGTAGGAATGGTATGTTTCGCCGATATTTTTTCGAATCTTTTTGTTGCTTTTCAACTGTGAAGAGAAAAGAACCGAGAGTTGCACTCGGGTCTTTCGCTTTCCGGGCGACTGCTTTGACCAACTAAGCTGCAACGTGAACGTAAATGCACAATCTGGCTGTCGGTGCGGTCCACCGCTTACGTAAACAAAAAAAACGTGCCTGCAAAATACTTCTTCACGAGAAACCATTTGGCTATGCAGAACTTTCAGTAATTTAACATAATTAAATCTCTGACAGGGAATTTGGTTGGCTCGCAAGTTTCCCCCATTGAAAAGAATTCAGGTTCTTGAATATTCACAAATCCGCGTTGTCCAACGTAATTCCGTTTATTGAAAAGCCCCGTTTCGAAGAAGTTTCAGCTGAACTTTTTATTTCGAAATTTTCGTAACAATTACCAACACCTAAAATTCCTTTAACACGATCAAACAACCAGAAACCAGAGTACTGGATAATGATAATTATCGTCGAACACAATTAATAATTAGGATTTACAGAACAATAACTTCAAGGTTTACTTTTTAAGAGATTTCTTCACTTTTCTACCTTCCGTGTCGATATTTTATACTTTCATCAACACACAACTAAATCGTACATAAAAATCATTAAATTTATGCAATGTATATATTCGGACGGTTGAAATACAATTTAATCTTCAAAGTGTCGTCCTCGTGATCTAATTCTAACACATACTTATACATCACACCATATCATAACAACTAAGATGTGAACAAACTTGTGAGTTACTTTTCTAGACCATAATTCGCAACACTACTCGAGGTGATGATCTTGACAGATATTAAAAATCTTCAAGATAAGGGGAGAGTATCCATTACTAAAATTATATTATAAATTAATTAATTTAAAATTATAAATTATAATTTTATATATATATTATATATATATTATTATATATTATATTATATATAATAATTATTATTATTATATATATAATTATTATATATATTATTATAATAATATATATAATTATAATATTATAAATTAATTAATTATAAATCATAAATTATAAGTTATAAGATATAAATTATAAAATAATAAGAATTTGGTGCACAAAATCGTATATTTACATAAATGTACGTAACAAGATTAAAATGAGATATGAAGTAGAAGGCTGCTGGAATACCTTTCGTCGTCCTCTAGAGTGTAGGCCATTAGCGCAGCACCCTTCTCGACGGTGGCGCAGGTGGATCCAAGATGAGAGGGCGCTTTGCCGGTCATGGGGCTGGCGAAACACTTGCGCTGCCTGTGCCTGGAGACAATCAGAAATATCGCGACGGCCAGCAGGAGGATCACGGCAGTTAGCACCCCGATCACGACCGCCATGTACGTCGGGTCGTCGTGTTTCGCCGTGGAGACCGGAAGCTCGCCCTCCGCGGCGCCATTTTTCTCGACAAAAACGTCGCTCTGAATCGGCGACTCGGTTGTCGGTGCCTCCTCTGGCGTGAAGTTTCCGTGGGCCACGTCTGCGCACAGATACACACACACACAAACACACCCATGTACAGAGATGAAAATCGTGGAAAATAAAACAAGAACGGGTCCGCAACTGCGTTATTCGTACTTCGAAAAAGCGAACCCGGTGGATTAAACGAGTTCGCTTTTTCGACGCGACCATGCAAATTGTTCGAAATTGGGTCACCGAAAATATCGCGACGAATGCCGTCTGGCCGTTCGACATTCCATTTTTCATTTATCTACCTTGGAATATTTAAAAACGGCCCCTCTCGAGCGGCGGGAGAAAAGAAGGGAGCGACTGCTCGAGAGAGAGAGAGATCGTGAATCAGGAATTCTTCTATGGGGTCGCGCCATGGCGCAGACATCGCTAAACGGCCTTGTTACGGTGAACATTTGGGGCAGAAACTATTAGCGGGCTACGAGCCACCGAGTGTACGCGGAATCATTAAGCGGAAAGAAGGCACTCGAGTGAGTGCACGTGGAGCGCATAATCAAGCACCGCACGCTTTCCGATAGAAAAAAGAACGCCGAGCGTGGCGCGAGCGCGGGCTCGCGCGCGCACAGTTTCGCGGAATTTTCCCGTTCGCTTGATCGATGGACCATTGAACGATTCGGTTGTCTAATTACGGAACTGTTCTCGGGGTTTCCCGAAGAGGCACCGGAACGGAATTTTTAATAATGCCAAATGAGTCAAGTGATACCTGGCTTTCGAAAAACGGGGGAAGTCAGCCGTGAATTCGTCGGCTACGTTCATTTCACTCGGAGAGGCAGAAATTTTTCATTTTCCTGGCGGCGAAGGAAAGTTTTTACGTCGTTTTATCTCAATATTGATTCTTCGGTAATTAGTCGACCGGCTCCCGGATTTCCTTGGGTTTCGAACAATTTCCGCGACTCTTTCGCGATCAAAGACATTTTCAGACGTACGAGAAATCCGAAATGCTGCGATTTCGCGAAACGGGCGGGAACCACGTTTCGTTAGCAGACGATTGCAGTCATCCCATTTGCGTGAGCGGCATTTTGCGAAATGGAAGGCAGCACCGAAGCAAGAAAATTCTTTCAGAAGCGACTCGTCCTTTCTCGTCCGCATCAATCTATTTCGTTCGCTACGGAACTCGAGTTTAAAACGAATGAGCAAACGCGATATTAAAAGTAAAATAATGAAGCATTTTTAGTCTCTGACAACCTCCTCACTGAGGGACGATTGTGGAACTCCCTCTCCATAAAATATTTTCGCAACCGTCCCGGAATCTTCCCTAGAGTTGTAATTATTCTAGATTTTTGTATTTCAGTCCATTTTGACTGAAAAATATTTTAGATAACATCGTTTATTCAAAATTGAACTGAATTGATAATGCTTTTTATATGAACGAAAAGAAAGGAGCTCTTTGAATGTGAACAGATAGATAAAATCTGTCCAATTTCTTCCACGAAATTACGAAACCTTTTAATTCGCTACAATTTTTACATCACTAAGTTCGTTTCTATTTAATAAATGTAAATGTATAATTAAACTGTAATTAAAATGTATAATTAAATATTCTTGGTCAGAAGAAATCACTAAGGTCATTATTTAACACTTTGCCAAACCAATAATCCGAAGATTTCATAAAATCCAGGTAATTGATTCAATGAACTAAAAATTATGATATTCAGTACCTTTTCGACGTTCTCACTTTTTCCAGATCATAACCAAAATGCTGAATAGAGGATGACCAGAAATTCTTTTCATTCGAGTCTCCATTTTCGAGAGGTATTAGTTTGGAAAATAATACTATTGAATAGGAATACAGTAGTTTCTCCTGAAAATGCTAAATTTTGGGATGCTGTAAATTTCTCTGCGCTAGTCCTACGCCTATGTACTTCATTGCTACGTCGATTCGAATTCCTGGAAGACAACTCAAAATAGTTTGTTTCAGTATGAGTCAGGTAATAAAAACCGAGATCCAATCCGAATAACCAATCTCGGTCGAATCGCCTTCAAATTGTCTTCGAATCGTGGCATGTGGCCTCCGAATTGCCTTCGAATCGTGCCACGTGGCCTCCGAATTGCCTTCGAATCGTGGCAAAAAATTAGAAATAAAAAGGTTAAGTCATCAGTTTTTATTCTAGCATTACTATGTATTCACATTAATGTACATCGGCACGCTACCTTTTTTTTTACCGACCGCCCCGAGTTTCTATAAAAATGAGCCACGAGGCTCGGTGAATCGCGACTTAGTATTCTCAGATCTGCCGGTTTCAATTCCGACCTCCGAACATTTCCGAGAGTTATTACTGTACATAGCTCGAGTTCCCAGTAACGTGTCTGAGTGTCTGGCGATTATCGTTTTCAATTCCGAGTTCCATACCTTTTAGGGAGAATTTACTGTAAATTGACACGTCTAGTCATAACATACCAATTCTACAATACTTCTCGTCATACTACAAGCTGCGCGAACTTGGCGCATCCTCCAACATATTTTTCTCGAAAACATATAAAGAAACAATTTTTCTCTTCGATTTATTATTACAAATAGATCGTCTCTTTTCTCGATTGTGCCACCAATGAATGATTGTCCCGCGTATTAGTCCAAAACTTCGCGCTACAGCATGTTTAAAACGAATAATTGCCACATCCAAACGTGATTGATACGTTCACATTGAACGTATCTGCGATCACAGTCGTTGAAGTTACACGTTACGCCTTGTCCATTTATCACACGATACAAAAATCAATTGCGAAACTGCCCCGCCAAGAAGAACGGTAGTAAACGAGCTTTCAATCGGCATCAAACCAATTTGTATCCTTTCGGAGAGCTCCGCCAGGACAACGGTCCCGGCGGATGTCCATGAATCCTGGCTCTCTGTCGGTGTCGTTAAATAAAATCTGGCGAGAGACGTTCGAGACTGGTCGTTCATCAGAACGATAAAAACGTCGGCGAGCAACAAGAAAGAGCCGCGGGGGGACGAAGGACGATCGAGTTGGTAAGTGTGTGGAAGCCTCTGCGCGGGCTTCGACGATGAAGCCTTCCGCCGTTCTCGATTCACGGAGCTTTTTACTCTGCCGCGGGTCCCTCGCAGGATTATTCCCAGCGAAACAAAGCTGTCGTCGCGTTTGATATCGGCTTTTGCGTGGCCTTGGCGAGCGTCGCGCTCTCACCACTGTCACCTCTGACAAACCGTCTAGTCTACTACGCCTGGTCGGCCCCCTCCCCCCGCCCCCTATGAAATCTGATATTAAACATTCTTCGCGAGGGAACGGGTATCAACTGTGAAAAGGGGTTTTGTTTCGCGAAGGCCCGGTCTCGTCGGGTGGTAAGGCACGTGTTCCATCGAACAGTAATGGCCACCGGCGAGGTCGCAATTTCACGGGAAACGAGTTTCCATACAGGTGCTGAGGCTGACCACCGCCTGACCCGTCAAGCAACAAGCTCCTGAATTTGTGCGCCTCGGAAAGTAGTCAGTTTATCGGGAAGTTTGCGGTTCGATAGAGATATTCTCTGTTGATTGTTGCTCCGAGGCTGCTTCGGATTTTGAATTAATTTGTTTGCGTTGAATACATTTCTGAAATCGCTATAACATGATAACATCCCTAATCTCGTGGTTCGTATCTTTAGAGTCAATTTTATAAATGTTGTATCTTGATGTAACAGCGTAGAGTAACAGAGCCGATTACTGTGAGGTGACCGATTTCTGTGCCTTTGGTATGCTTTCGAGCATAATTAAGTTTATATTCATCGAATAAGACGTATGATATTTTTGTATTCAAAAATAAAGATGTATTAAAATAAAAATGTATCCAAATAAAAGTTTTAATATCTTGTTGAAACAAATTATTTGATAAAATATCTAAACATCTGATGTAATAGAGATGGTTCTCTCAAAATGATTACAAAAAATTTATTTAATTTTATAAAATATTCTTTATATTAAAAAGTATAAAACATAAAACAAAGTATTAAAAAGCATAAAACATAAAACATATGAAGCATTAAACATATGAAATATCCTTTATATTTAAAAATACCGAAAATATTACGTTTTATAAATACATCGATGTTATAAATGCATAAAGATCTAGTTACACATCAAAAATTAATATTCTATAGTTAAACATCAAGAATAATTGACCTAGTTAGACTTCGTTTTACATTCTTCGCATCCTGTTTATTTAAGCAATTGATTTTACTTCAGCAATTTGACTGGTGAAAGTATGCCTCGAAATCGTTTATATCGTACTTTTTAATACCTTCAGAATATGTGAAAAGTAACAATTATTATCAACAATTTTAAAAATAAAAAAGATTGTTCAGTTCAAATTCAGCGTACAAAGTTTCATTTCAAGGTTATATAAGAATAATTGACCTAGTTAGACATCATTTTACATCCTTCGCATCCTGTTTATTTAAGCAATTGATTTTACTTCATCAATTTGACTCGTGAAAGTATGCCTCGAAATCGTTTATATCGTACTTTTTAATACCTTCAGAATATGTGAAAAGTAACAATTATTATCAACAATTTTAAAAATTAAAAAAATTGTGCAGTTCAAATTCAGCGTATAAAGTTTCATAAAACGATATAAGATTGCATACAGAATTACATAAATTCTGGCCATTAACAAGGAAAATAAATGTCATAATTACGAGAGCGTTACGATTTCTACGTAGATATCAGAAACTTTTATGCAGCTTAACACGAAACTTGCCGAGCCCTAACAGCGACTAACAAGGGTTGTTATAAAACGATGAAAAGATTATTTGTTTAGTCCTTCTCCCAGTTTTATTATAACGTACTGCTTGGATTCAGAAATTCGTTCAATTATACTCCACGAACGAGTCTGAAAAAAAAATATGAAACTGGTCAGTTTAAACGGATCGGTAGGATTAGCGTTAATAAGGTGCAATTCAAGATTACGGTGCTTAAAACTATTGTGATTTACGTGGACACGAGGATAGCGAAAGACCGTCAACGCGATTAGCCGCGGCTTGGTCGCTAATTTGACGCAATTTAGGTGCGAGTTCTGAGG